GGAAAACAGGAGGCTTGGTTGTGTTGCTGGCAATGCTGAAGAATCACCCCTGAGAGGGAGGCCAGCATCATTACCCACATTTTAAAGATGGGGAAACTGAGGCACAGCATAGTTGAGCAACTTGCCCAAAAAGTCAGAGTCAGGACTAGAGAAGCTCTGTCCCCCTGGCTTCTTCGCTGCCTACTAGAAGACAGCGTATTTTTCCCCTTGTTAATTTCCTAGGGGATGTTTATGGCCGTAAAGTCAATGGTGCTTCCGTGCTGTCCGGAGTTAGCTGTGCAGTATTCTATGGCATTCTGTTCCGGCAGGGCAGACACAAGCACCAAACTTTTGGGTTTCCCTCTGTGTGTAGGCAGCACATTGAAACGCGGGGCTCTTTCTCATTACGTTTGCTATTCCCCGACCAACTGGTGCTGCCAGGAATCTGCCCACGGTCCTGAAGAGCAGTTGGCAGTAGGCATTAGCCTCCTAGAGGGTGGCAGCACAAGACTTGACTGCTGGAGCTGCCGTCTGTTGATGAGCTAAATGGGTTTTGGCTCCGTAATGTACAATCAAATCAGTGCTGCGATGACAGGGCTGTGATTAATACAGTGAGCTCTCCGGGACGAGGGGGGTCTGCCAGTGAAAAAGGGCAAGGAACTCTTTTCTTTACGCTCAAAGAAACCATCATTTCCTTTACGATCCTGGCGCTTGTAACCTGATGTGGCGTGTTGGGATGTCTGCAACCTATTTCTCAGGCTTGCCTCTGCTTTGGGGCAAATCTCGGTATCTCGGTTTCTCTGTCTGTAAAATGGGCACAACAATCCGTCTTTCATTGGGGTGAGATTAAGGGATAGCGCCCATTGAACTGTCCTTGCAGGAATTCTGCCCATTTTGGGGTTTTGTATGTTTGTTACTTATAAGGACTTTGTGATGCCAAGATTGCCCTTTTGTTGTGTGTCTGTACAGTGCCTAGCACAGTGGAGTTTCTGGTCCAGGATGTATTCCTGGCAGTTATGGAAATACAAGTAAAATATGACAATGATAGTTCCTGATGCAGGCACAGAGACCAGAGAACAGTGCATGCCCCGTGCATTGCATGTATTACAAAAATCAGTGCACACCCCTGAGAGATCTTTCTAACCCCTCCAAACTTTGACAAATCACAGCAGTTTCCTAGACCAGTGGCAGACATCCCTATGGCCTAGAGACGCAGCCAAAGCTAGTTAGAAGAAAATCCCTTTTTTTTATAATGGGCGGGATACATTTTCCCTGGTTTCATTCCGGCAAATGGTGGAAGAGTTTCTCCTCCCGCTTTTAAAACACAGCACTTGCAGACTGGCATCACATGTGCAGGGGTTCAGCCTATCGGGGGGAAAATCAACATGACGACTAACTGAAAAAGTCCTGTGGGTACGGCCCTACCAAATTTCCCTGCCATAAAATACATCACGGACCATAAAATCTAGTGTCCTCTTACCCTGTGCCCTATACAGATTTCAAGGGGGAGACCAGCAGTTCTCAAATTGGGGGTCCTGGAGTTTCAGGAGGGTCATAAGGTTATTTTAGGGGGGGGTCACGGTATTGCCAACCTTCCTTCTGCATTGCTGCCTTCGGATCTGGGCAGCCGGACAGCCGCGGCTGTCAAGTTGCCTGGGTGCCCAGCTCTGAAAGCATAACTACCACCAGCAGCCATGCAGAAGGAAAGGCAGCAGTACCACAGCCCCCAGGTAATAGCCTTGTGACCCCCACACAACTCCATGTGGGGCCAGGACCCCTTCAATTACACCACCATGGCACTTCAGATTGAAATAGCTAAAATCATGACATTGACCAGGTTGAAAATCATAGGTGAAATTGACCAAAATGGACTGTGAATTCGGTAGGAAACCCCACCAGGAAAGCTCTGACGCCCTTAATACTGGAAGGACGGAGTCTAAACTCCCAGGTACCGTGCTTTCCTGAATTCCGGGGCCTTAGAACGGAAATGCTTATGCTCCCTCGGCCCTAGCCATGGCTCTGGGCCTACCGCTGATGCGTTGCTTCTGTCAGCGGTGAAAGGGACTTAACATTTCTGACGGGCGCTGTCCTATCGCAACCCGGGTCCCTGCCAGCTCTCGTAAATAGCTCCCTGCTGGCAAAGCCAGCTCTTGGCGCACCAGGGCAAACCCGCTTCCTATCCCCTCTGCCTGAGAGCCGCTGTATGCGGGATTGGGCCCGGCCGTGATTAAAAAAAAAAAGTCACTGCCAGTCCCGTGGGAACTCCAAAAGAGCTCCAGGATCTCCTCCAGCGTCCCAGCCAAATCCTCTCCCTGTGTCTCTCTCCAACCCAGGCTAGGAGGAGGGGGGCAGACAGGCCAGTATTTTGTAGGGACCCTGCCTCCTTCTCCACCCCACCCTCCTTGATCGCTGCCGGGGGTTGCAAACCTAGAAGTCACAAGCTGCAAGCAGCCCCGGGGGTCAGCCACCCAGGCTGCTGTTGAAGTCACTGGGCTGCAGAAAGTCACAGAATCCCTGACTTCCTCCACCTCTGGGGCAGATCTGGCGTTTGCCCCCTCTTCTGCCAGGTGCATCTCAGGTGCGTCCCGCCCAATGCCCTCCTCGTTCTTCTCTCTTCCTCTGATTTTGTGCCCAGGCGCCGGTCGGGGGGGGGGGATCCTCCGGGGTTTCCTCCACACTAGGGCGTGTGGTCGAGGAGGACTAGAGCGTACCGCTTTCCAGCTAGCCCAAGGAAAACATTCTTCCCTCAGGGTCGGCTCTACAGATCCCGCCAGAGCGGACCCAAACCCTGCAGACGGTAGAGTGTCGCTGAGATGCCCAACCCGGCCGGCTTTGAGGCCGCGGTCGGAGCCCTGAACGGAATCCCGGGGGGCTCGGGCAGTCGCTGGTGCAGAAAGAGTTAGGGTCCGATCCAGGGGGCTCTTGCCGTATTCCTGGAAAGCTCAGACCTGAATTCCTCTTTGACCCAGGGCCCCGCTGGCCAGCGCGGCAAAGCGATTGCCATCTAGGTCAGTGTTTATGGGCGCGCTGCTCCCCCAGGCTGCCACTGTGATTACAGGCTTAATGATGCTTCCCACAAACAAAATGTAATGGCCTCCATCTGTGTAAACCAGAGCTTCCTGCCGGGAAACGCCACTAAATGGGGCTTTGCGGCGGGGGGCCGGAGCTGGCTCCCTGCCAGTAGCAGTCGGCACCACGGAAACCTCGCGCGTTAACTCAATTACAGCCCGGCTCCCGCCGCAGCGAGGCAGTTTGCGGTGAGGAATCGCCGAGTCCCTGCATTTAAAGGTTACCCGGCTGATCCGTGGCGTTAGGATGGGAAGGGCCGGGAGCCGCCCGCTCGGCTCTGTGCCTGGGCTCCCAGCAAGCTGGCCTCCTGGGCCCCAGAAAGAGCACGGTGTCTGGGGTCCGCTGGGCTGGCTTGGCGTGGTAGTGGTTGCTTCTTCCTGTCAATGGTTTATTTGTAGATGGCTGAAAGGAACCCCCCTTAGCACCACCTGTGCAGTATTACCTGGCCCTGCACCTCTGGGATCTTGGCGGTGTCTAAGAGCCCCAGATCTGGACACCTTAGTGCCAGGAGCTGCCCACAGAACCAAAAGGCGGTCCCTGCCCCAAAGAGCTTCCAGCTTGGAAGGTGTTAAAGCCAGTGAGCATCTCACGCCAAAAGAGAGGTAGTGACATCTAGTGGTTAGAGCAGGGGGGCAGCTGGGACCATTTTCAAGCAGCGGCCTCTCTCTGCTCAAGAGACGTGTGTGTGTGTGTGTGTGTGTGTGTGTGTGTACACACACCCACCCTCTGAGGACTGGCTGCTTTCCAGGGCAGTCTCGTCACACTGGTAGAGTTAAATTCTCAAAAGCACCCAAATGACTTAGGAGTTTGAGTCCTATTGACTTTCAATGAGAGTTGGGCTCCTGCTTGCCTACATCACCTTTGACAATAGATGGAGGCTCCTAAATCACTTAGGCGTGCTCCAAACTGTTACTCTTTAAACTGCAAAGTGGGCATGATACTCCTTCCCTTGTCTGTCCCCTCTATTTAGATTGTAAGCTCTTTGGGGCAGAAACGGTCTCTTACGGGTGGCTGTACAGCGCCTAGCACGGGGGTGGGCGGTAAGCCAGAGGCGGTTCACCCTGCTTAGCTCCTGATGGGCCACTGCTGCTTTATTTACCTGCATCTCCGCAGGGACAGCAGTGTGAAGCTCCCATTGGCTGCAGATCGCTGTTCCCATCCAACGGGAAGCGGTGCGGACCGGGACATCGCTTCCCGCAGCTCCCATTGGCCGGGAACAGCAATTTGTGGCCAATGGGAGCTTCCAGTGGCCATACCAGCCCCCCCCCCACCACTAACCCTGGTGAATTCTGTCCAACCTGCGGGCCAGTTGTCACCCACCACTGACCTGGCACGCTGGGGCCTTGACCTCAGCCCGGGTTTCTCAGCTGCAGGAATAGGAAAAATATTACTAAATTTGCACCCTTGATCCTTTCCCTCATCAATTTCCAGCCTCTGATAAACAAGTGGCTAAGAATTTGCACCCTTGATCCTTTCCCTCATCAATTTCCAGCCTCTGATAAACAAGCGGCTAAGGGCACCCCATTCCTACCCAACCTGTCCTCCATGAATGTATCTAGTTCTTTTTTGGACCCTGTTAAAGTCCTGGCCTTCTCAACATCCTCTGGCGAGGAGTTCCACAGGTAGACGGTGCGTGGTGGGAAGTAGTACGTCCTTTTGTTTGTTTGAAACCTGCTACTTATTAAAGTAATTCCAGTACTAACACCTGTGTGGAATTCATGGATATATTTAGCTCCCTTTCAGGGGTCTTTTCATTGCTCTGCAGCTGTAGCTATCTCTCCTGGGCTCTAAACAGAGCTCCTGTCATCACCTCATCACTGTGGTCAATGGAGAGCTCCCAAAATTCCCACCCCCCTGCTGTCACAGAGCCTCAAATGCTTTTGACCCACCACAACAACTCTGCCTGTAATGCCCATTATTCAGCATTGCAACGTTTTCTTTGTTTCCTCCAGGGCTTTGTGTCGTGTATGGAAAAGTACCGAAGGAGTGGGCAGGAGCTGTATGCATCGTTGTACAAAGATCACGTGCAGGTATGGGACAGAAGAGCTCACAATGCCATGATGTCATGGTGGAACTCGGCCTTCCAACCCGTTAAATGCCATATGCAAATTTGTGATTCCTGATTGGCTCATCAGAGATGAATAAGCGCTTGATCCCCCTGGATTTCTAATCCCATCTCCCCTTCAGAATGGTAGTTAAAAACCACCCTGAACCCCAGGCATACTGCAAAGCATGGCCACAATGCAAAAGGTTTCCTGCTATTTCCGATGAGACATTCAGAATGTGTGTAAGGGTGAGTCTACACAGCAGGGCTTAACTCAGAGTAAACGACGCAAATCGAGTGACGTCAGTTGCGTCGTTTATTTCAAAATAACGTATGTCGAGTGAGTCTACACAGCAGGGCTTAACTCGGAGTAAACGACGCAAATCGAGTGATGTCAGTTGCGTAGTTTATTTTAAAATAACGTATGTCGAGTTTTGGTGCTATCTACACAACACTTATTTCAAAATAGAGCACTCTTCCTCCTACTTCCCTTACTCCTCATACAATGCGGGTTACAGGAGTTGGAATAAGAAATCCTCCAGCCTGACAGTATTTCGACATTATTTCAAAATAGCTGCCTGCAGTGTAGACGTGGACTGAGTGAATAGATCCTGCCGGTGGTTTGGGGGACATCAACCTTAACCATCATCAGAGTGAATAGATCCTGCCGGTGGTTTGGGGGGACATCAACTGTAACCGTCATGGGAGACACATACGCGCAGTCCTGTGGCACCTGAGAGACTAACAAAACTAGATAGATATAGTACCGTGAGATTTCGTGGGCAAAACCCACGCGTCATGGGAGACACATACGCGCAGTCCTGTGGCACCTGAGAGACTAACAAAATTAGATAGATATAGTATCGTGAGATTTCGTGGGCAAAACCCACTTCTTCGGACGTTCGTTTCAAATGGTATCAAGATCTGTAATTTCATTGGGAATGAGTTTTGTGTTTCCTCTGATCCCTGGGGGCTTTGTGTCTTGGAGTGTTACGTGCCCGCGGCTGAGAATTGCTGTGCTGTGGAGTGTTGCATTTGGATGTATGTCCAAGAGTGCCAATATTAAGACTCGCTCGAGTAGGACTTTACGAGCGGATGGAGGTCCTCGGAGTGCAGTCGCTTTAGAACATGGGTTCCCAAACTGGGGGGCGTGAAGAAATTCCAGGGGGGCACAAGGCAACCCAACCCCTCCTCCCCCGTCAGTCCCCCCCAAGTTTTGCTATTTTTGTTTTTCGGCCCTGGTCAGTTCCTTTTTTTTTTTTCCTCACAAAATGTTGCTGCTGGGGGAGGGAGGCGGCTTGAGGGTTTCCCAAAAATCAAAAAGGGGGCGTGATGCCGAAAAGTTTGGGAACCCCTGCTTTAGAACCACACTTTGTGCTCGGGCGTTCAAAGAGGACGTCGGGGGAGTTAGGCACCCTCACGCTTCTTGGAAGGCAGTGGGAGATGTGGGGGCAAAGAAGCCAGCCCATGGTTTTATGATGGCTGGCATTCCAGCTCGGGATGTGCAAAGGCGGTTAGAAAGGTCACTGTGTCACCACTCACAAATAGTCCCAGCATCTCAGGCACCCGAGATCCACGGAGATCGCCGAGCCGGACCAGGTGTGGGTGCTTTGGGACTAGCAGGGCGTGGCGGCATGACATGAGTCTCTCCCCTATAGATGCTGCAGTGTGGCTACAGCAAAGCGGCGAAAGACTGGGCCAGGCTGGAGGAGCAGCTGTTCACCAGGGGGGGCCCGTGGGGAGCCGGACTGGGGCGGTCAGCCCCACGCTGGGTGCTCGATGGGTACGAAGGGCCGGCCCGCATGCGGAAGAGGATTCGGTGCGAGCGGGCCCACGGGGCAGTGATGCGAATGAGGAGCGAGGTAACAAGTTATTGGAGGGGTGTGCAAATTCTTTGTCCTCCTTCCTTTCTCTCCAGAACAGCCCATGAATAGCATCTCATGCTTGTGGCTTTCTAACCCTCTCCCCCCAAGTTATACCCCTGCCCAAAAGTCACTGAGCTCGCATGCAGCGGGGTGAAGCCGCGCACAGTCTGTAATTTAGTAACCCCCTAGCAGGGCTGACCCAGCAGGAACAGTCTAGTCCTCGCACACCCTGGGCGGGCGAAGCAGTGAGCCCTCTTGGCTGGGACGGGAAGCCAGTAAGAGTCCAGCCACTGAAGCTGAGCCTGAAGCTTTTGGGATGGGGGCCAAGCAGAAAGCATGCGTTAGTCTCAGCTTCTAGGCTAAGGCAGCCAGCAAGCACACAGCTTATGCTCAGACCCTCTGGGGACAGGGCAAATCAGGAAGCAGGGTTTATACTTCCTGTCCTGGGTACTTCCTGTGAGGGGGCAGGGCAGGTTTGACTCCGCCCACCGTTGGGGTCCCTCACTTTCAAGTCTAGACAGAGGCCATTCCTCTTCATTTTGAAAACCCATTGAAATTAGCTATGATCCGGATGGTGCTTGGTCCTGCCGGGAGGGCGGGGGACTGGACTCGATGACCTCTCGAGGTCCCTTCCGGTTCTGGTGTTCTACGATTCCATGATTCAAGCAAGTCCACAAAGGCTGCTGCATGGTTAGCAGCGGTGGAATGATTTCGGTTTGCTCGTCCTGGCTAGTGAGATCTCACAAATAGATGGGCTTTCTCTCTATCTGCCGTATCCCAGAACTGCAGCGCCCCCTCCTGGTGGCGTTGTGTGTTCTGAAGTCCGAGGTGGAGAAGGTTCATCGGCCACCATAGGCTTCCGTCCATCAGTTCGACAGTCCTGCCGGAATTGGCCAGTGAGCAAACGTACCTTGCTTGTGGAATTAGAGCAGTCTGAGCCAGGAGTCCAGCCAGCCTATTGTATCTTGCTTAATGATACTGCCCATCCCTGTCGCATTTGGGTGCCAGTCCCTATTAGCAGGAGACAAAAGGACTTAACCTTCAGTATTTGCAGCTCGGCTCTGAATATGCACTTTGTGCCGTAGCTTAGCATCAGGGGGTGTTTCCATTCTAGTGACACCAGTTTTCTTTTCAGGATCACTCAGCAAACAGGCATGGATCTACCCCCATTCAAGAGGAAAATCAAGGTATAACCATACATTGATCCATAAAGGAAAATAAACAATGTTTGATCTGACATAGGCAGATGCCACTCCAAGTCTGAATTTTTCCCAGGAATTATAACATGGTGGCGAGTCTAGTTTAGGGTAAAATAGAAGATATTTCTCTATGTAGCACTTAACCAGAGGCTGATTTCGATCCTGCCTTGCGATCACTGGGAGAAAGTAGATGCCAAAAACCTACCATATCTTCTTCACACAGCGCATAGTCAATCTGTGGAACTCCTTGCCTGAGGAGGTTGTGAACGCTAGGACTATAATAGGGTTTAAAAGAGAACTAGATACATTCGTGGAGGTTAAGTCCATAAAATGGCTATTAGCCAGGATGGGTAAGGAATGGTGTCCCTAGACTCTGTTTGTCAGAGGGTGGAGATGGATGGCAGGAGAGAGATTGCTTGATCATTACCTGTTCGGTTCACTCCCTCTGGGACACCTGGCATTGGCCACTGTTGGCTGACAGGGTACTGAGCTGGATGGACCTTTGGTCATTCTTACATTCTTAAACATTTAAGTGCCCCACTGAGAGGTCCAGAAACCCTTGCCTTTAAGAAAAAACAGGACTATGTAGCACTTTAAAGACTAACAAGATGGTTTATTAGGGGATGAGCTTTCGTGGGCCAGACCCACTTCCTCAGATCAAATAGTGGAAGAAAATTGGCACAACCATATATACCAAAGGATACAATTTAAAAAAATGAACACATATGAAAAGGACAAATCAAATTTCAGAACAGAAGGGGAGGTAAATGTCTGTGAGCTAATGATATTAGAGGTGATAATCGGGGAAGCTATCTTTGTAATGGGTAAGATAATTAGCGTCTTTATTCAAACTTGAGTGTAAAGTGTCGAATTTATGCTTGAATTCACTGTAATTGACAGGAACAAGCAGGGCACTCGTCAGCTCAGGGAATGGTGATAGGCGATTGTGCCTTTCAAAGAGCTGGGCCAAAAATGGGGCTAAAAACCCTGAACATTTCTGAAATTTCGAAGCTGAGCCTGGTTCCCTGGGTTCCAAACGGAGCCATTTTTCCCCATTGGTTTCTAAACTGTCGACATTTTTTCCACATTTTTCTTTCCCCAAGTCTTGGTCCTTCAGTCAGTGGGGAGAAATCAACATAGTTGTTGTCACCAAACATTTCATTTTGGGAAGAAAGGCCCTTTGTGGGTAGATACGCTTTTGGCTTGACACATTTCAGCTAGCGCTGGGGGGTTCAGCCTCCCATGTCGCTGCTCTGGGGCAACCTCTCGTGTAGGTTAGTGAAACTGTTGTTAAACGTGTTTGTCTTGGTCAGGGCTAGGTACCAAGTGAGAACGGGGCCCTCCATGCTAGGGGCTGTACAGAGTGCCAGTCACTGCCTGTTGGAGCTACAGTCTAAATAGAGAAGGCAGGTGAAGGCAGGGAAAAGGATATGAGCTACGGGAGTACCATGTCTGCACAGCACTGCCTGTACAGGTTGATCCTCCCTGGTCCAGCACCCTCGGGACCTGACCGGTGCCGAACTGGAGAATTTGCTGGACCATAGGAGGTCAATATTGTCAAGCAGCATTACCAGCCCTTCCACTGCTTGCTGGGGTGTTAGAAGACATCTAGGGGTAAATTAGAGCTACAGCACAGAACACTGAGAGCCAGGACTGGGGGCTGTAAACAAACTTTATGGGACCACGGGAAACTTGGCCCCACCCATGCTAAGTGGGCATCCGGCTAACTAGAATCATGCCGGACCACAGAGGTTGCCGGACCAGAGAGTGCCGGATTAGAGAGGTTCTACCTGTACTCTCAAAAGTCTGTTGCATCCTGGGTTTGATTTGTTTGTAAGTATTTCTGGGATCAGCCAGAGCAAGTACAAACATGGAAATGAACAAGCTTGTTCAATATTTGCCAGTTTCAACTCTTATTGGAGCTCCGTTTGAGTTTGGATGGAATGTTGGGTCCCATTCCTGGTTTGTCCTTCCTTAGCCCTTAAGAGAATTCACATCTCTCTTGCCTACGTGAACCATTTGGGAGTATGGGGCTTTTTTGTGCGGGGGGAGAGGGCAAATAAATAATGCCACTTCCTCAGGCAGAACAGATTGGGTGAAAGTCTAATGTGGCAATTTGTGGCATCCAGCTGCCAGTAAAACTGCGATCTCCTTTACGTTGCTGTAGAAGAACTGATGCTAAATGGAGCAGAAAGGGCGATGGATTGTAACCAGCTGACATTCTTCCCTGCCCTCCATGAAAGTTTCCACTCAGAAGACTTCTTGGAGCTGTGTGTGGAAAGACAAATGATCCTGCAGGAGTTTGTTGAGAGTGAAAAGGTACCGCCTGAGACACCGGGAAGGGCAGGGGGCGTGGCATGGTGGAGATGGGCGTTCGGGGACCCAGGAGCAGTATACCATAGATAGATAGAGGGGGTGTATGGGGATGAATGGATAGATAGAGGGGGTATATGGGGATAGATAGATAGATAGATAGATAGAGGGGGTATATGGGGATGGATGGATGGATAGATGGAGGGGATGTATGGGGATGGATGAATAGATAGAGAGGGTGTATGGTGATAGATAAATAGAGGGGGTGTATGGGGCCAATGGCTAGAAGCCAAAACTAGACAAATGTAGCCTGGAAATAAGGTGAACATTATTAACAATGATGACAATTAATCACTGCAACAGGTTACCAAGGGCTGCAGTACATTCTTAGAGAGGGTGTATGGTGATAGATAGAGGGGATGTATGGGGATGAATGGATAGATAGAGGGGATGTATGGGGATGGATGGATAGATAGAGGGGGTATATGGGGATAGATAGATAGATAGATAGATAGATAAAGAAAGAAAGAAAGAAAGAAAGAAAGAAAGAAAGAAAGGGGATAGACAGACAGACAGATAGGATGTAAGGGGACAGATAGATAGATAGAGGGGATGTATGGGGACGGATGAATAGATAGAGAGGGTGTATGGTGATAGATAGATAGATAGATAGATAGATAGAGGGGGTGTATGGGGATAGATAGGTGGATGGATAGATAGATGGATAGATAGATAGATAGATAGATAGAGGGGGTGTATGGGGATAGATAGATAGATAGATAGATAGATAGATAGAGGGGGGGTATGGGGATAGATAGATCGATTCAATAGATTTTCTTGGCATTTTCCCAATAAACACGTCACATGCTGTCTCTCCAATGCGCTGGCCCCTCGTCCCATTTGCGCAGCAGGTACCAGAGCCAATGAGGTGCCATGTTAAATGTTTCCTGCCCCCAGCAGCAGGAGCAGGCCATGAAACCGAGAAACCCACTTCTGTGAATTCCGCTAATCTCCTTCGGAGGCTGCAGGCGGGTGTGCGTCTGTAACTCGGCGGGAAGCCGTCACAAGTGCCAGCCACGTTCCTCCCGTCGCCGTCACGGCGTTGTGACGCTGACAGAGTATTGAAAAAAGCAGTAGGAGGTGACATTGGCTGTCCTGCGCTCACTTAGCGCGCCTGGTCCTGCCTCGCAAATGAGCCCCAGGCACGCCGAACAGGCCGGCGGAACGGGCTTGCCTGTGGCATGGCGGC